CACAGACTGCATTCAATATCACATAATGCCATATACTACTTTGCTTTATATTAAAGGCATACCTTTGACATGGTGGACTAAGGACACAATGTGCTGAATAAATGACTCTGATGTGCTTTTGCTGGCTTGTGGTAGCTTAATGTGGTCAAAGATGGATCGGAACTCTTGCTCCTTCTTGACCGAATGGACAAGTGTACTAGCAAGCAGCCTGTCTTTAGTCAACGATGCAGGTCTATGAAGCATAACACACAAAAACCAGAGGTTTATGACAGAGCAACTTCATCATGGATAAAGGAAAAATATTACAGGCTATGATAATTACCTGTTTGAATCATCAAGTGGCACTGGGGCCATTTTAAGTTTCACTTCAGGTCGATGGGAGTCACTGGCTATCATTTTGATCCTAAGTGGGCTCTCCTCCCTGAACGTAGATTTTTCTCTTGCATCCAAATTCTTGTGCAGAGGGGGACTATAATCAAAGAGTTCTTTGAGCTTCTCAGACTTTACCTGCTCAGGTGACTGGGTTTCTTTCTTCATCATTCTCTCAGATATTTTCTCTTCTTCCTTGTGCTTATCTTTTAGTGAACTAGGCCTCTCTACTACATAATTAGTTGTCTCTTTAAGTTTATAATTTTTATCTTCTCTAAAACCTTCACTCTCTCTATTTGTCTTCATAGAGATTTTAGATTTGTACTTAGAGCTGTCCTCCTCAGTATTCCGGTGAGATGCAGCAAAGCTCTTACCCTGATCTGCCAGAACAGACTTTCTGAACTGTCTATAATCTTCTGTCTCCTCCGTGTCCTCCCCTTCAGAATCATTAAATTTTTGTTTCCCAGACTCTTTATCCATATAGTATTCCAATGCTTCCTGATCCTCCCATTCTCTTTCTCCCTCTGTCCTGCCCTTTTCTGATCCTCTCTCCTTTGGGGTATCTTTCTCCCTAGTATTACCTCTATCAAGCAGGTACACTCTAGATTCTTCATCTGTGTACCTGTGGATACCAAAGGAGAAGATGACAATTTT